GGGGGGAGAGGTAAATGGCTGCAAATAACTTTTTTTTTGCAAAACTTGTGCATAGGGTTCTAAAATTGCCAATTTATATTTGCATTTAAAGTTATGAAATATGATTCATTAAACATGTTTGTGGTTGTTACAGTAAAAATATAACTTTTTCTACTAGGATTTTATGTTTTTTTGTCTGATTTTAGATCAATTGTGTTAATACAGTATGTCAAAATGAAAACATAACTGTAAATTCAGACACGTGAGGTTGTGCTGAAAAGGATGATACCAAACAAGGCAAAGTAAATAGTTTTAAAGGTGAAATGTAGAGGTAAAATCAAAAGTAGTTAAAAATGGCCAATTATAACCTGGACCCCCAGAGGGTTAAACATTTTTTTTAAAGTAACGCAACAGTTACTTTTCAAGTAATTATTTACTTTTGGAATCATGTAACTCAGTTACTAACTCAGTTACTAACTCAGTTACTAACTCAGTTACTTTTTTGAAGAAGTAACTAGTAACTATAATTAATTACTTTTTCAAAGTAACCTGCCCAACACTGGTCATCGCTATCTGTTGAAATTTGTTTTTACATTTATTAACTATTTCTAGTTAATAATAAATAATTATTAACTTTCTTCTACAACTTCCAGTTGGATTGAATTAGGATTTTCTGGTCACAGTCCTCACCCACACTGTTCTCCTCAAGCAGGGTATTTTTTTAATTTCCTTTGCCAGTTTTGGACCCACACTGACAACGAAATCATTACCTGTTATCATTATCTGTTAACCACTTCATTCCTATTTGTAATAACCATATTTTTTCTCTGAAAAAATCTGGGTAATTAGCTTTGGTTTGTTTGTTTATAATAGTCCATGTACCTTTTGTGTTATTCTTTCGATTCTCTGGCATTTTATTATAATGATCCAACAACAAACAAAGGGAAACTAACACAATATATACACAGACAGTAACGAGGGAGGACAGGAGAGAAACACAACTGGACCTAATCTGACATAACAAGACAGGGAGGAAGCAAAACTGTAACACTAACACAGGACACGGGCTGATCAAAATAAAACAGTAAGCAAGACAAATACGGAGGACAAAGACACACAAGCTTAATACTGAGATTGTGGGAGAAACTGACATGGGGCATGACTGACTTGGGAGACAGAGCGGGAACATGGAACACGGAGACAAGAGGAACAAAATGAGTAACGTGGAACACAGGGAAAGTACTTTGGAAGTACATTGGTTGTTTCACACTGGTTTAAAGTTAATGTCTGATCACTAGGTGACATTCCAGGCTCTGGTTTAAACCTCTGATGTATTAACTACCAGAATATATATCAGTCATTAGTGCTCTGTGTCTCACTGGTGGTTCTTTATCTCGTAGGCCATCCACTTCAGTTATTTTACTGTTTGTCATTTGAAGTCACTGAATGTTGCTCACTACATCACTGCAAATCATTTCCAGTGTGAACAGAGCTCAATACACACAGTATTTTAGTGTAGTGTAACTTAATTCTAATTCTAACGCCAGGCTTTTTGGTTTTTGATTATCTCCAGAGGTACTAATGGATTCAACAACAGCAACAGCAGAACTGGGCTGGACCACCTACCCATCTCAAGGGGTGAGTAGAAAAATCAACACACTAGGAACAATGTACACAGTGTAGATAAGCAGTCAAAAGTTTGGACACACCTTGTCATTTAATGGTTTTTCTTTATTTTTACTACTTTCTACAATGTGGAGGCAAACTGAAGACATCAAATATATGAAGATATATAAAATTACGTAGCAAAGAAAAACTGATAAATAACTCTAAATGTGTTTTATATCACAGATTCCTCAAAGTAGCCGCCCTTTGCTTTGTTGACAGCGCTGCAAACCCTCGGCCTTCTCTCAGTGAGCTTCATGCTGTAGTCACCTGAAATGGTTTCACTTCACAGGTGTGCCTGTCAGGGTTCATTCGTTTGTTGCCTTCTTAATGAAGTTGGGACCATCAGTTGTGTTGTGCAGCAGTCAGGTTGATACACAGCTGACAGCCCTATTTGACAACTGTTAGAATTCATATTATGGCAAGAACCAATCAGCTAAGTAAAGAGAAACAACAGTCCATCATTACTTCAAGAACTGAAGGTCAGTCAGTCTGGAAAACTGCTAAAACTTTGATTGTGTCCCCAAGTGCTGTCGCAAAAACTGCATTTCTTCCCACTAGAAGTGCTACACCGAAACTGTCTTACATGAGGACCGCCCCAGGAAAGGAAGACCAAGACTCACCTCTGCTGCTGAGGATACATTCATCCGAGTCACCAGCCTCAGAAATCACAAGTTCACAGCACCTCAGATTCCAGTAGCAGACACATCTCTACATCAGCTGTTCAGAGCAGACTGTGTGAATCAGGCCTTTATGGTAAAGACAAAAGGACCAACAAGTGCTGAGCATCTCTGGGAACTCCTTCAAGACTGTTGGAAAACCACTTCATGAAGCTCATGGAGAAAATGCCAAGAGTGTTCAAAGCAGGAATCAAAGCAAAAGGGGGCTGTTTGGAAGAATCTAAAATATAAAACATGTTTTGAGTTGTTTCACACTTTTTTGTTTACTAAATAATTTCATATGTGTTTATTCATAGTTTTGTGTTTATTCATAGTTTTGATGCATTCTGTGAGAATCTACAATGTAAACAGTCATGAAAATAAATAAAAAACACCATTAAATGACAGCACCTGGAAAATATGCACATGGTAGCCCACTTACAAGTCTAACCTTTTTTTAATTTTATACTTTAAACTGGAGGTCAAACATATGCCATTGGTCCAGAATCAGCTTTCTGAAGAATCAAGTTCAGCACACTGTGTAGAAGTAATACTTCATGTTTATCAATAAAGTGGATTAATATTCTTGTGCTGGTATCCAGTGATACCATCATTACTGCACAATCTTTAAAACTGCATCTTTATTAAATATATTTGATGTTTGATGACATCAAAGTTTTAAGTGTGAAGAATATGAAAAGTATGAGATCAGGAAGGGGGAAATACTTTTTCACTGTCCAAAAAATTCCAAACCAAGCTTTAAAAGTTGTAGAATTTCCTTTAAGTCACCTTGCTTGCTACATCCAAATATTGATAGCATAAATACTAATGCTGGTATTGGTGTCGGATCAATGCTAACATGGCTGGATCAATACTTTGTTTCTGTCCTCCAAACTCAGTATTTAGCTGATACTCAATTGTGTTTAATAATTTATTTTTTTCTGGAAATGAAAAAAATATACCTCAAACATGCCCTGTGAAAAATGTCTGAACCTGACTGTCACATCTATGTTATCTAACCAAACGTAAACAATAGAAGTTGACCCAATGTGCCATAGAGATGGGGCATTTGATTTCCAGATCTCCAAAAATCACAGTTTCAAAATATATGAAAAGCTGAAAAGTGTGTTTTACTCTATTAACTACTTATTATGGAAAATAAAAATCACAGGGATTTAGTGGTGATTAAAATGGGTTGCAAACTTCTGATGAGTGACTTGTAAGTGACTGCTCTCCCCTCTATAAGCTGCCTTTGTGGGTTAAAAGTATCTGTGTTGGTATCAGCAGTACTGGCTGACTCCACTAGCTTCTTCTGCTTTTGGATTGTTCCAAGTTGTCTTCAATGTTCAATTTAGTGTTTGCATGTTTGTCACTTTATCAGTAGCTCTGTTTCTTGGCTCTCTTCTAGTGGGAAGAAGTTAGTGGATACGATGAAAATATGAACACCATCCGAACATACCAGGTGTGCAATATCTTTAATAGCAGCCAAAACAACTGGGTCCGGACCAAATACATCCGTCGCCGTGGTGCTCAGCGTATCCATGTCCAGATGAAATTTTCAGTACGGGACTGTAGTTCCATACCCAATGTCCCTGGCTCCTGCAAGGAGACCTTCAACCTCTATTTTTTTGAATCTGACTTGGATAAGGCCACTAAATTATACCCACCCTGGATGGAAAACCCATGGGTGAAAGTGGACACTATTGCAGCTGACGAGAGCTTCTCTCAGGTCGATCTCGGTGGCCGCATCATGAAGATCAACAGTGAAGTTCGAAGCTTTGGACCTGTTTCCCACAATGGCTTCTATCTTGCTTTCCAGGATTACGGTGCCTGCATGTCACTCATTGCTGTTCGAGTCTTCTACAGAAAATGTCCCCATATAATCCAGAATGGAGCTGTTTTCCCTGAGACACTGTCAGGAGCAGAGAGCACCTCTCTTGTGGCAGCCAGAGGAGTGTGTGTTCCTAATGGGGAGGAGGTGGATGTACCCATCAAGCTGTACTGTAATGGGGATGGGGAGTGGATGGTACCTATTGGTCGCTGTATGTGTAAAGCTGGATACGAGGCTGTGGCGAATGGTACAGTCTGCAAAGGTAAGAAGGAATGTGTGAATAAGTTCTTATGAGATGTGCCTCACTAGACTGTTCTACTGCTGTGCCATATCATATCGCTTGCAGTAACACCAATGTAAATTTTACATCATATGTCAAATTACTACATCGTTGCTATAGCAATGTCATGTGTTTTTAGCATCTAAAATTGAGCTATTTTGTGAAATATGAAAACTGTTCTTGCTAAAGGTGGAAAGATGAGTGTTTCACACACATGAGATAAAAAATGCAGTTGCATCTCCTCCAGCTACGAAGGACGAGATGCTGATCTGCAACCCAAACGTAAACCAATGGCTCAACTTGGTCAACTACAGCCACCCTCGGGTGGCTGTAGCTCAGGAGGTAGAGCTGGTCACCTACTGGTGGTCACCTACTGATCGGAAGGTTGGTGGTTCGATCCCTGGCTCCTCCAGTCTGCATGTCAAGTATCCTTGGGCAAGATACTAACCCCAACTTGCTCTCCGATGTGTCCATCGGAGTATGAATGTGTGTGAATGTACTTAGAAAGCACTACGTGTAGATAAAGTGCTTGTGAGAATGGGTGTGATTGGGTGAATGAGGCATGTTGTATAGAGCGCTTTGAGTACTCCGGGAGAGTAGAAAAGCGCTATATAAGAATCAGTCCATTTACCATTTACCATTGGTCGAACTTGCTAGTTGTGCTCCATAATGTCAGGAGGAGCAACAAATAAAACAAAAAAGAAGAAAATAATGAAACAAACTGAAGTCACTATCACAATTTTTCTTGAAATATTGTGATATAATGTTGAGCCCATCATGCCCACCCTGGCTCTGTTCACAGATGAAGAGCAGCAAGAAAAAACAAATAGTTTTATATGCATAGGGATGATATTAGTGTATCTTGAAATGAACCGGTTTAAAGTAACTTAAGTGCAATGTTTTTCATTCATTCTGTAATCAAATGTATATATACAGACAAAAGGTACTTTATTTTAGCTGTACAACAGATTGTCACCAGGGCAACACTGTGTAAGTTAATGTAAACTACACAGTTCCCCACCTGAACTCTGAATGTGCTTGAACTGCCCAATAATCTGAGATTAGAATATTTACACTACACTACTTCTACAGAAATTCTTAAACAGTACATGAAGGATTTTTGTTTATCCAATGCTTAGTGTTCACATCAGCCCACTCGTTAGGATTAAAACTTTTTTTCACCTGTACACTACTATTCTTGCGTAGACTTTTAGTTTGTAGCCCCATTATGATCGATATCCCAGACCGTCAGACACTCATCATAGATTCATTCTATCAGTATCAGTGGTCATGCACCAGTGTCTTTCTCTCTGACAAAGAAAGTGACACCACTAATTAGGAATGGGAAGTTAAATAAATCCATATGTAAAGTATAAGATTTCATTATTATTTTCAAAAGGGAGTAGGCAATTTACTTAAAAAATAGTGGGCTCTTTAGGAAGTAGGAAATGTAGTAATGTGGCAGAAAATAATATATTGCTGTTCACATAAGAAAAATAAAGAAAGAATACCTGTATTAGAATTGGAAGAAAAAATTACAAATCCATTAAATCATTAGAAGCTGCCTATGTTGCCTCAGACTAGGACAAAGTGCCCTGGTCAGTCTTTGTGAAAATGGTGCACAGTGGCACTGCTTCAGGATATTACACTGCATAATTCACCAGAACTAATACAAAATGATATTCTCATGCATTCCGGTGAAGTGGCCCAATGAAATCCAATGCCAATATGCTCAGATGAGACCTCCATGCAAGGTAGTTTCCAAAGGCACTTCTGGGATAGCACAGATAGCTGGTTCCGACATTCTCCCTGATGCCCGGCCAATAAAAATGGGCCATGAGCTGTTCCAGAGTTTTGTCATATTCCCCTGCCATGAGGTTATGATAAGCTACCTTGAAAATAATTTCTCTGCAGCTCTTTGTGACCAACAGCTGGCTGCGTTTCTCTTCCATGCAAGTTTCACAACTCACTCGATACAGTCTGCCTCTAATCAACACAAAATGCACGTAGGTCAGCGCTATGTGGAGTAAATTATTGGAGTAGGCGGGGCCTCCCAAGAAGATGCTGTCTCCTCCTCCCCAGAGTCAGCTTCAGACAACCTCACATGACCTGACTCCACCTTCCTGTGGGTTGTGAACACATCTGCACATTCCAGCCAATCTGTTTCCAGAATGAAGGGATGCGTCAGATGGGACCTAATCACCATCTTGACTCTGTGTGCACCTGTATTTAATCTTTAGCAGTACTGTGGGATATTTGTGTATGTCCCCATGCACACAACTCCTCATCAGACCGACATCTTCCACCACTCCCTCCGATCCTGGCAGCAATGCCAGTGTGAAACCAGCCCTAGCAACCAGACTCTTCAAAATCCTTGTCTGGTGCTTGGACTGGTCCTGCAGCTAGTCCAACCGTCAGCGATGCACCATTGCCTGCTCCTGATACATTATTGCCACCAGCTAGGCCACAATCCGAACCAGTGTCTTGACTGCTTGAGTTAGTCACTGGTCTGACTGACGTGACCATGACAATAAAAATATAGAAAAAGCATGGCAAAACACATGAAAACATTGCCATTTTAGCATAACTCGTGCTTGAGAGTGCTTGAGATGACTGACTCCGATAATAACTTTAATATCACTGAAGAGAGTAGAGTTGCTGTTTTCGGAAATTTAGAATTTTTCAGATTGTGCAAACTGTTCAAGAGTTATGGCAGTTTAAAAATAAGCAAAAACCTGTTGGTGGGAATTGGTTATAAGGGTTAATGGGTTAACAACATCACTACATTGACGCTGAAGAAGACATCTAGGGTGTACGTCTTGTGTTCTGCTCTTTTCAACCTACAACGTTTATTGTGTGCAACACAGACAATGCCCTGCCGAGCTGAGTAGGACAGGGGAGGGGTGTCAAGAGAGGTGGGACTGAAAGAGATTCCCCTGGTTTACCTCTCATTACATCAGAGAGAAAGTAAAAGGGTAAAAGGGTTTAATATCGAGCCTTATATGTTAAAAGTGATACAGAGTGCTAAAAATAGAGTTTACCTATATGTGCTTTTGCCATCTTTCAAAAATATAATCAAAGTGCAAGTTCACTTAATATGTTAAATAAGTAATAAAAATGATTCTAATGTCTCAGTTCAGTGTGCATAAACATGATTGAGCCTTGGCAGATGAGAGTCTGTGTGTGTGAGGCTGGCAGCAGGAATGTGAAATCATCATTATACATGTTTCTGAATGAGAGAAGTGGTATTAAGTATGTTGTAATTGTTAAACACAGAATCATAATTTATATGTGATTTTGCTAATAGTTAATCTTTCTTAATTCTTAATAACAATCAGAATGTAATCAGGTATAAGTTTAACCAATATAACAAATAAGAAAATAAAAACTATGAAATGATTCTACTAACACGTCTCTCACTGAGATTCCATATGGAGTGACATATTTGTGCAAAGATGGCCTTGGAGGCTGTGAGAGTGTGTGAGAAGGAAAATTGAGAATACCAGGACTGACAAACACAGAGTTGTGTTTGTCAGTCTTTTTTTCTGTAAAGAGAAAAAGTGAGAAAAAATATTTGTGTGTAACCGAGTTGAAAAGAAATCATATTAGAGTGGATAGTCATGTGATTGAGACAATGATAAATCCTGTTGAAGTAAAATAGCATAAACTAAACTAAAGACATGACAGAAAGTATATTCATATTTGATTTAATGTTCATATGTAGTGAAATTATGTACAACAAAGACAAGAAGATGTGATGAGGGAGGGGAAAGATGAGGACCAGGTATACCAGGTATAAAGGTTTTGTGCAGAAGAGATAAGTTGTTCATTGCTTTGTCTCCTGCGAGACAAGCACTACAGATGATTGGATCTAAGATTTTACAGCTGGAAGTTTAAGCAGAGATACGAGAAGGATCAACCACTGCCAAACTGTGGACTTTTTCTCTGCTCATTAGATTCAAGAGGATTTGAATTTCCAGGGGATGCTTGTTGGAGTATATCAACACAGAACACAAAGATAAGTGCATCTTCAGGCCAGGGTGTGCCTTTTCTTTCATTAGTCTCTCTCCTCTCAAGATCATTATTAAAATCAGCATTAACTCAACACAGGTCAAAGAGATAAGTAGAATTCAATCGATTTGATTTTGTGATCAATATTATTTGCTTTGCTTTTGCTTTTACCATTACTGTTTATGAAACAGTAATGGTAAAGACATGCATATTACTCAAAGAATCCTTACAGGTTACTCTAACCTTAAAATGAACAGATCCTTGGGCCCACTTTTTCAGACCACTAAATTTTACCCAGTTAGTAAAGATTTAGAGGAGAGCTGGTAATAATGGGTGTGACTGAGAGGAGATTTGAGCAGAATGCCATTCTGACAAGCACGCCTTTCAGAGGAAGCAGGATCAACATCTGCAAGGTGGAGTAGCAGTATCAGTATCAGCTAGGCAAGTCTCCTCCATGGCCCCATCCAAGCTCTGCATAGCCTAATGAGAGATTAGTACTTTTTAAACAGAGAAGAACCTTTATATATTGGGAAGGCCCGGTTGGGATCCAACAAAAGTAAGCATTTTGCCTCAGAGCTGGAGCCACAATGTATTGATTCAAGATTCAAGAAGTTTATTGTCATGTACACCACCAAAACACAAATGGTTACACAGCGCAATTAAATTCTTACTTTGCAGGTTCTCTTCACACGACTAAAAGAAAGTAATAATAAATAAAATAGTAAAACAGTGCTTTGTAGATCTTGTAGCTTATATGTGGGTGTAAACTTGCAACACTATCACAGTGATAATATATACAGTATGCAATATAAAGGTGTATATGTTGATATATGTATAAAAATTGCAAATTTACAGGCTAATATTAATGTACAGAATTGCTATTTTACAGGTTAGGTGTAAGTACAGTTGTATTATGCTGTGTATAAGTGTGTGTGTGTATTGTGGG